TCAATTTTCTTTTTATAATTTTGCACAATTATCAAAGCTGTTCGTGAACTTTTTGCGTTCGAGCGACGTCTGCCATTCTCATCGACGGCTGCGGCCGGTAATAGTTTTCAATACCGTATAATTTGCCCAAACGCGGGGGTAAGGGCCGTTTGCGCGTTCGCCCATCTGCTTCCCCGGCACTGTCCCGCTCTAGTAAGAGATTATTGAAAATGTATGCTGTCTTGTTTAAATATTAATTTATCACTTCTTTACAGCATTCTCACCATCAACAACACGACGGTTATTATCAAAAAATAATTAAAAAACATGCATACCATTAATATTACAACTCTCCTATATTCGGACTCTGTTCGCCATATTTTCGAGGTATAATAATGTTATTTATGTTTACGAAGTCTCTCAAATTTAAAAATGTAGGTACAGCGCAATATTTAGTTTGAATGTGTCTACTGTACAACGACAAAAAAACAAAAAAATAAATTCTAGAACATGAACTGCTGAAAGTGTTTCAAATAGGTTGTACTATTAAACGAAAATCAGGTCAAATAGCTTGTTTAAAAATTATTTCTCGTTATTTTTTAGTTTGTGATTATACATAATGGCACGATTTTCCTTTTTATTTATCTTCAGATTTAGAACTGTCTGCCAGATAATTTTGCATTAATCGATCTTTTCATTTCAGTTAATCTTATTAAAATTGATTAATTAAATGTAAATTTCATAAATTACATTTAATACTATGTTAATAAATCTTTAAATTTTTTTTTTATTTTTTTTTTTAATTTTCAAATACAATACTACGTACATATGCATAGTATATTATTATCGTGAAAAAAAAGTGGTTAATTTTTAATATTTTTCCGGTGAACGAAGTTTTATAGCAAAACAATTTACATATTTTGATGTGTACCATGACAAAATCGGAGCATTTTTACTAACCAAAAAAGTCTTTTCTGCGAAACAGAAAAACAAACAGTACATCTTTCCGAAACTAAAATAACTTTTTCGTTGTACTTTGAATTTAAAAATGCAGGAAAAAGGCAAAAGGAATTATCCTGTTTCGTTGTGTGATGCACTGACGCGGAAATAAAATCGGTAGCACAATAAATACGCATAGCGTTCGTGGAGCAAAAAGTAAAATCGGGGAAACAAATCACAAAAATTCAAAACTCCGAAACTATCCGGGTGCAAAATTATTAAAGACGTAAACAGTAAACACGCCGTGTGCGGCGGCGGTGCTAACGATGTACTTGGCTTGCCGGGACGTGGGTACGCTTACAAAAATATAGTATCACCGGTAAAATATCGCTTCTATTTTATTGAAATTTATTTATTATTAAATACTCAACATTATATCACAAACCTGTAAATTTCTCATCTTATCCCATGTTACCACCTTCGTTTTTATTTTTCGTTTATAACAGTTCGTGCCGTTTCACATTTTTACTATGCATTTTTACTAGAAACTTATAAAATATCGATTTTTTTGTTTTTTGACGACATTAAATATAATCAAAACTACCTATCTACTCAATAGAAAAAAAAATAGGCTGGAAGCTTTTGACATGTGGTGCTTTAGGAAAACGTTCAGTATTCTCCGGATTGAGAGGGTGACAAATGAAGAAGTTCTAAACAAGATAAAAGAAAAACGACGGTTATGGAAAAATATTTAATCCAGACGGGATAAGATGATGACACACATTAATTCACGAAAGTTTACTATAAAAAATGATTGAAGGTGATGGTAAAGGACACATTGGAAGAAAAAAACCTAGGGCAGAATAATAATGACCCAAATTATGAAGGATACGAGTAAAGGGAATTATAAGGACCCAATAGAATTAAGTTATAATCGAGAAGCATGAAGAGTTGCAACAAACTAATTTAAGGATTAATGATAATAATAAAAAAAAAGCATTATTAATACATAATGGTTTAGTTTTTAATATTGAAAAATACGTGGTGCTAATTCCGAGGTAAAACATACGTTTATATAATAAATGTATAAATTATTATTTTTCGCATGAGATTTTTTTTACTATACTATAATTATAATATTGTTGCTACATTTTATACTGATGATATTTTACCGGACATATTTTGTCGATGTTTCAGAACATACTAGTAGTGGGATAGTAATCCGGATTTTCGGAATCAGAAATTAAAAATTGATTTAAATTTCGGATTTCAGACATTTTTTTTTTTTATATATAAAATTATTTATTATACATTTTTAAGTATAGTAATTACGAAAAAAAAAAAATAAATGTATTAAAAATGAAAACAATTAAAACCATATTCTATTAAAAGTTATATCGCTATTTAAATAAACCGAACAAATAACAGCCTATTCGTCTATCATATGTTTTTTTGTTTTAAAACATTTAGTTTGGTGTTTTATGAAAAGGAAAAAAAACTGTTCAACAAATTACCGCTGAAACAAAAATACGTCTATCATTACCTAGTATTAAGATTTTAACCATCGTTCAGATTAAAAAAAAAAAAAACACCGAGCCTTTGGGAATGAGTGGAAACATCCAGCAACCCCTATCTTTTTTCCTCCTATTTGTTTCGTTAATACGCCGTTGAACTTAATAGGGCGCTCAGGTAAAAAAAAAACAAAAAACTGAAAAAATAATCTTTCCATACATTATTTATTTATGGGATTCTGGGCAATGGTAAGCGCGTTTCGTGATCCTCTGGCTCGTCGAACGCGGTATTATCGCGATCAGCGAGTTCAATAAATGTTTAAAAATATAATGTAATATTATTTTACGTGTGTTTACTCGAACGGTAGGAATTTTTTTTTAAATCCACGTGCGGATTCTAAAACTCTGTTGTCATGGTACCGAGCGTTGAACTTGAAATTCAAAAACGCGTGTACAGTGTGTTCGCGTTTCCTAGTAACACAATGGATATTTCGACAGGACGACCTTGGATTTGAATTTTGTTTTAGATATTTAAATTCTCACATTTGAGTATAAATTTCAATTGAATAAAAAAATATTTAATTTTAACTCTTTCGGTGCATGCGTGCGTGATACAAATAACCTTTCTTTCGAATTGCAACACTTTATTTTAGTATTAAATTGAATAGGATTGAATATTTTTTTTCCAGGAACCTTTGTTCAATCAAATTTTTTATGTCTCACAAATTTTCTAGGTTACAAATCTCTAGGTTACATATCTTGGTTACATTATCTAGGTTGATAAGAAAATATGATTTTTCGAAAAAATTTAAAACTATATTTGGTATTATTTAATGATTATATTTGCAAATATTTCTTATCCTATAAAGTAGCAGACGAGTGTTGAGACTTATAAAAAAAATAATAATTATATTATGCTAAGTTTATTTTTATCACCTTCGTACAACTTATTATGAACTTCATGTTAAATTATTTTCAAACATTTTGGGTTGGTCAAAAAGTTACATTCACATAAATCGAAAAATAATACGCGAAACGATGTGATTTTTACGATTTACATTAAAATTGAAACTTTAAACACGGTACGCTTTTTTTTTTTTCCACTAAGTATGAATTATAATTAACCTATTAGGTATTTTATATTGGGCCAAAACAATTTTATCTGTATAACCCCCCCCCCCAAAAAAAAAAAAAACTAAAAAAAAACTAGAAAATGTCAAATTTCTATTTAATAGAATAAAAATCAGCAAAATCTTTTGAATTTTTTACCACGTTTAGAAATGTCTAAAATAAGGTAATAAAAAAAATTGAAAATAACGAAATCGTTTATGACGGAAACTTTCCCGTTTTTCCTATTTTGTTACCCCTTTTTTTCCAAAACGAAAATAATAAACCACACTATATCTAAAAAGTATGTAAAAAAAAAGCTCTCTTGTCGCGTTTTGATTGGAGCTAGATTTTGGTAGAAAAATTGTTTTCAGAAATACAAAACCAAAAAATAAAAAACAATAATAACCAATCAACTGTAAATATCGTACAGTTTCATTTTCCAATATTACGTTTTGTAATTTCAAAACGGTTTGACGTGTAGGACATTGTAGCGGGACAGCTGCCCGTTGTACGTTCCGTTATATTGTAACTTATATTTTTAAAAAGGTTTTTCTTTTTTTTAAATAAATATTTTTGACGGTTTCGTTTCGAAGGTTCGATTAAAACGCACGACTACGCAACGTACAAAGGGCTCAATATAAATGGATGGAAATCGAAATACCAGTGGCGTCGGGTTAGGTGATGCGAGAAGCGGAGATATTATCCCATTGCAGACTCTTACGGTTAACCCGGATGAATAATGTTCAAGAATAATATTAGTTTTGGGTGTTCGGGAACCGTTTGTAATCATTACCGCGTACCTACTCGTGTTTTAAGAGGTTATGCCTAGAGATGGGCACTTTTCCGGGAATGAAAAACTATGGAGCTTTCCGTGAAAATTTTCGGGAATATTCCCGAGAATATTTCTCAATTGGGGAAAGCATACTTTATGAACATTATTTAACTTTCTGACAACACATAATGACACGACTTAATGCCTAGTTTGTTTACTTGTGCAGTTGTGAGTTGTATTGTTGTGTCAGTTGTGTACATTTAAATAAACACAAATTAAATAGATAGAAAGATAAAAGGTAGGTAAAAAAGTGAAAATTGATAATTGTTTAATAATGTTACAGACAAGAAGTTTAATATGGTCTTCTAAAATAATAAAATTGGATATGTCACATAATAATTACATTTTTGAGGAAGACGGGAAAGTGGGAAAAAGGATTTCGAAGAACGTTCCCCCAGAACATTCCCCGTGGGACATCACTAGTTATGGCCGATCGGTCACGGACATAACGATAAAAATAACATTTAAGCGGCGATTTTGAAATTCCTTTCGGTTGATGATGAATAATACAAGGTGCGGCAGAAAGAACTCCGTAGTTTTATAAGGTTTTAGTTTGGGTTTGGGTGGAGGTAGATGAGTGATATTTACATCGACAGAAAGTCCTATCGATGCCATTTTTAGCGTTCATCATGTCTTGGTCGGGAGAGCATCGTGAGTTTGTTATCGAGGAATTTATTAATTATGGCGGTTCACCGATAACGATCCAGCGTGCGTTTCGTATTCGGTTCGCGCTTAATCGACGTGATCCCGTTCCCGATAGCACAACCATACGTAATTGGGTATCAAATTTTAGGCAAACAAGTTCTGCACTAAAAAGAAAATCGACGGGCAGACCTCGGACTGCAACAGGTCCAGAAAATGTGGCTACTGTAACAGTGACCTCTAATCACTATTGTGAGATGCTTAAACATTTTCTTCGGCCAAAATTGAACGATTTTATCCATGAGTATGGACAACGAAATGTGTCGTTTCAACAAGATGGTACAACAGCACACACAACTCGTCGTTCACTTGGCATTCTGCGAGAAATGTTTCCTGGGCATATTGTCTCCTTGTGAGGTGACATTAGGTGGCCGCCACGTTCACCAGATTTGAACCCATGCTATTTTTTTCTCTGGGATTATCTAAAAGCCCAAGTGTACCAACATCGTCCACAAACTTTGGAAGCGCTGAGGGAGGTAATAACCCAGGAAATTGCTGCTATTCCGCTCGAAATGACCCGTAGAGTCATAGAAAATTACCGAGAAAGGCTCAATCAGTGTATCGAAAATGAGGGCCGCCATTTAATACAATTTTTTTTTTTGATATTTGACTTTGTTTAGTTTTTATAAGTTTCCTTAATCAGGAAGTTCTTTTTGCCATACTCTGTATATAAAACTCTGTATCGAAATAAAATATTGAAAGCAAACTTTTTAAGAGAAATCTATAGCTTGACAAATAGAATAACGAAATATTATTTTATACTATTTTATAGAATATTATACTGATTAAAACAAATAACGGGATACATAATATAATAATACATTTCCAATACTTTACTCCAATACTTTTGGAGAACCAAGTATAATTACTGCGATAACCAGGGTCAAGATTTGAGCTGGATGGGCCGCGTAATGAGATCAGAATAAATAGCAACAAACATCCTAAATTGAAAACCTCAAAAAAATAAGCCTCTGGACAGTCCCGAGAAAGGTTTGGAAAGCTCAAGAAATAGAGACTACCACGAGCATAATAATTGTTAAGAGACAATGAAGTGTGTGATGCATCGTTAGTCTTCAATGGCCTATAAAGATGAAAAATAAAAATAAAAAGCAGAACGAAGTTTAAAATTAATTTATTTAGATGTATTAACGTTTTTATTTTTTATGTATGCAAATACGGTTTTTGATATATCGTTTAGGATTGGGATTTTCGAGCGCAGCACGTCCGAAGTTCACGATAAGTATAAAATTTAATAATATTATAATACGGTTAGAAAACCAGCCGGTTAAATTGAGACCGACAGCTAGCGGACGAAAAGAGCTTTCCGGGATTCAACGTATTCTACGAGAAGCTTAGCGTATCACAATAAGTTTAGTATAATATTATACTGAAATGCGATACGGGAAATATTATTATGTGTCGTTCGCGGGTTATTGTGCGGCTATGTAACAGAGTTTACGAATATTAAGTTTATAATCGAATCGTTAACAACACTACTTTAACACGGTCGAAACGTTCCCGATTTGAATATTAAACCACCGGGTGACCAAATAAACAACATTCGATTTTATATTAATCTACGGGACGCGGAGATCCGTAATAATGAATATAATATATTATAGGCTGGACTGATGGCGGTCATGCGCATCGTTGATCCGCCAAAATATCGCCAGTAAAAAATATCTCCGATAACAACATCCTCGTGAAAAATATCTCCTTTAAAATCGTCTTCCTAAAAATATTACATTAATTTTCAACATAATAATAAAGTTAACATTTTGCGATTAAAATATAATAGAACGTATACTGTTTGTGGTACGATAATAAAAAAGCGCAACTAGACCACTAACTTTGAGGGTGCTAAAATTATGGACACATCACAATCTCATGATTTCAATGGTCTATGGCAATGCAATGTCTTAACAGTGCCCATTAAACGTAACCTATAATAAGCAACTATAAATTGCATTTACAATTCTAAATATAAAACTGTATCATAATTTTTTTACTTTATCTTTTTCACGCACATGCATTGTCTGTAGGTAATCTGTATTTTATTGTACTAATTATTATGAAATTCATATGGATATAATTTTAAGTCGATATTATAAAAAAGCTTATTGGGTATTTTTGAGGGTGGTAATTTTAAATTTGGGGGTGCTGATGGCCCCCTTATACCTCTAGTTGCGCTTATGGGTAATATCGGTTATTATGAGTTATTTGCCCAGTTATTTTTGAACCGGTTTCTTGGCTGACAGAGATAATGTTAACGATCGTACTTAGTACTTCCGTCTACCGTGGACCGCTTACCAAAAAAGATAATTTAATTCGATTATAATCGATAAAACTCTAGATGTAAGAGGATTGGTTGTAAAATTATATTTTTTTTTATATTTATTTATTTTATTTTAAAAACATAATAGCAAGACTTTTTTGGTCGGGTGATAGTAAAAACTTTCTTTTTTTTTTTATAATTTTCGTATTAAAGATAATTTAACAGAGATATTTTGTATTAGAGATAATTTAACAGAGATGTTTTATATAGGAAAAATATTTTGACGAAGATATATTGACAAGAGATAATTTGACGTAGAACCGTGACTTGGCTAAAATACGTATATTATACAATTTAAAAATGAATTACTACAAAATTAATTAAATAACTAAATAAATACCTATAGTTATTGTATAATTTCAAGTCAATGGAAAGGGAATGTAACCCCTAACCTTTCTCCCCTGCACACGTCAATGACTATAGCCCTCACCCAAAAATAAATTATAGCCCTCTAATAAAAATGTCCATGCGGTGAAAACGTTTTCACATTACCTTTTTTTAGCGCAAATTTCCAAATTATGTTTGTTTTAACTTATTAATAATCTTATGTGGTTTTAAAGGAGGTATGGTATGGTACCCACTAGTATCGGAATATAGAAATATGTATTAGGGTTACAGTTCCACTTCACCCTCCTCACACATACACACACACACACAAAATCATTATGATGCTAAGCCTATTTTATCGTATAGGAGAGCTTAAAAAAAAAAAAAAAAAAAAATGTATGCCGATTAATAAAATAAATATAACGCTCCTCTACAAACTGCACACATACTATAAATATAATCACTATTATATTAATATTGTCGTGACGGAGAGCCATTCGTTTTAACGCAATTTTTTGAGACGGCTTATGATTGCGAACGTGACCGTCGGCGATATCTGCGATTGCTATTATTACACTATAATAACATTATTAATATACAGATTAGGTTTATTTGATTGAGAAAATTCTACTGAAAATAATGATCAATGCGATTATTATAATTTTATTGGTGATCCTGCAGATTACTCTGGTCCCCTCTCCCTATCGCCATCACACCGCTTTGAGTTGAGTTTATTATTTTATTGTTCTACACACTACCTTTTAATATAGTAAATACCTAACCGTTTAGTGTTTCGGTTACTATATTTTATTATTATGATAAGAGGCTGATGAGAGTTTAAAACTCGAAAATCCGCTTATGGAAAAGTTGCTCCCAAATCACTTGAAAATTCTAATTTAGAAAAAAAACTGACTGAAATACGCAATAAATTATATTTTTAGTTAAATTATATTAGTGGCGAAATAAAAAAAAGACCTCCTGAAGCAATATTATATACCCACTACTGAGTGAGTGCCCACCCATCAATATTCCCATATCGTCGCCGTCGTGCAAAAAGTATCTAAGTGAAATATTAACATTGTTGGTAAACTGCAATTGAATATTCAAAATGCTCTGAAAATTCACTTATTCGATTTTAATAATTTTTGTCTAGAAAAATCCGTGAAAAAGTAAAAAATTTTAACCTTAAACTATTAAATTTTATGTTTAATAAAAATTTGGAAATAGTTTAAAAGCTAAAAATAGCATGAAGAAAAAATGACCAATTGACTTCTTGATCAAATGAAAAACTGACTAACTAACTTAATTAAATCATTTAGTCAAAAAAAAATAAAAATAAACAAGTGCATAATATTGCACTTGGTCACTTTTTTCGCGACGGCGATGTTATGTATCCCAATATGTTTACCATTTTTACGAGGTCTAATATTTAGTTATTTTCATATTAAACACCCACTCACCTGCAATATTCTTAATATATCCCAATATGTTTATTAAATTAGTATTAAACCAGTTTCCAGGTATTTGTTCTCACATTTTACAAAAATCAAGATGTGACCACTTATCGAAGATTACGTTCGTTTCACCGGTGTATGATAATATATAGGTTTTTCATGAATACTTATGATTTGAACATTTGGAGTTTAAAAATTTGCAAAACAGAAACTGTTAAAACTGTTGTATAAATTCCACATACAAAATTTAAGAAAAAATACCTAAAAAGAGGGAGAAATGAAAAATATAAAATATCAAAAAAGCAGCATACAAGTTTTAAAACCGAGTTCATTGTTCCGAAATAAAATTCGAACTTTGTAGTAATAATAAAAAGAAATGTATTGCCAACAATCGCAGAGCTCTATTACTATTGTATAATATTATCGGTCTTGATAAAAAGTAAGAATGCACAAATCCAAGAACTCTCGTTGTAAACCTAACAGATAAATGTGTGTTGCCGCCAGTATAATATACTGTAATATTATCACTATTACCTATTTCGCTATAGAAATCACCCAGCAAGTGCTTATACCTGCATCTCATATCAATAAATAATAACACAAAAAAATCCCTTGCACTTCAAACGAAAATTTCACGTATTATTTTGCATTATACGCATTTCTGTCTAGACAAGTTTGCGCAATACATGCATATAATAATAATATACAAGAATATTGGCGTTTAAAAAATCCCGTGATACTATTTTCCCTTTGACAGCATCTAAATTGGTCGAAATATTAATAAAAATGTGAATGCAGTAATAATATTTTCAAGAAAAAGGCACTATTGGAATAAACAATCGATTTCAAAGAGCCACACTGCAGGAGTTGATTCCTCGGAAACATATAATATTATATAGGTATTAGTATATACAGTGAATTATTTCCTATTTCCGGTAGGTATACGGTTACTCAACTTAACCGATTTTTCTCGCCATATAAAATAATTGCAAATAAAATACCTACTTTCCATGAACAGTCGTAGCAAATAAGTAACTGCTCGTGATAATACATTTGTTCATACTTTGCATGTTTCGTGTCTTATAAGTTTTATATTTTTGTAATCTATATTTTAGATTCTGAGTGGAACGAAGAATGTACTGGTTTTACAACGATGTTTATTTTTTTTTTAATATGAACACTTTTTCTACCAGAAAGCATACTTCGATTATCAAGTATAGCCCATTTCCAAAATGGAAAT